TAAAATTTTATTATCAAAATGATCGTACATCATTTGCTACTTTTCTTGCGTTTTGTCATTTTATAGTCGTAATAATCGTCCAGCTGTGCTACCTATTCGTTGAATTTTGAAAATTGTGTACAAATAAAACAAAGAACCGCTGGAAGTAATGACTATATTGCTTTCGTTCAGACAAGTTTTGATGAAGACTACAGTTTGTGGACTCTAAAACGTTCACTAGAATTGTGACTCTCTCACACCACAACCTGGTGGCTTTTGAGAAGGGACTTGGACCTGAATCAGCCATTGGAACCCCGCAAATGTCGTAGATTTGCTGATTTTGCATTGAAACAGCTTCAAAACAATCTTTTTAAGATAATTATCTTTTCGGCATCTGAGTAGTACGATACTGTCGATTCTGGTGTGAATAAAATCCAAATATTTTTTCATAAATAATGTTTAATTGACATTTTGGTGTAATTTTTGGTCTGGTAGAATGATCGGTCCGTACTTTTTTCGAAACGCAGTTAGTGACACCGTTATTGTCAATGGACAGCCATTTAAATCGGTTATAGCCAACTTTTTATCGCCGTAATTGGACATTGAATGGCCTCCAAGCAGTCGTGATTTAACCATTCATTAGACTATTTCTTGTGGGGTTATTTTAAGTCATTGGTCTGAAGCAATAAAACAGTTGTAGCAATGGCATTTCAAATTAAATTAAAAGCATTTATTGTTTTGATTGCATTTAAGGACACATTTATAACAATTATGGGAATCTATGAAATATAAATGCTTAGGTAAATATGGCTGTCCGGCTTTGACATTACTTCCAGTAAATGAAATGTATATAATTTATTATTTCGGCTTGAGACATATATCTAAAGTGAGAAGCAGATCGTATCTAATTAACTTGCCCCAATAACACAGTACAACAGCTAATCTGGGGGGTGAGAAATTCCTTTTAAATTTTTTCCTTATCTTGATGTTTTTTCGCTTAGTTGTAACATTTTGGCAAAAACGTAGTTTAACATAACTCGGGAACCACTTGTCCGATTTTGATGAAACAAATTTAGAAAAATTAAGAATTAYAATTTCTATTCGTTTTGTGTCATTTATCCCCTTTTTTATAAAATTTCTCCAATAACTCCAGACTTCTGGCCATAAACTATTTTTTTTTTGTTTGTTTCGCTCCCTCCAGACAATAATCCCAAAAATTTTCCACAGTGTAATTCTTGTATATACATATATTGATAAAGCATGTTCTAAGTTAACATATTTGTTTTTTTCCTACATTTACTCTAATTTCATTAATTGTTCAACATCCACTTGAAACTGGTGTGCTTGTGACAACTAATCTATGACATCTCAACTATGCTGCTATCATCTTTTAATACGTGTGCT